TAGAGACTCTTTCACCTAGATATCACACTATAGAGACTGTGTCTGTTCCCCGAACTAGCAAATACAAAAAACGTCCAAACCAATTTAAGAGTAACAATTTAATTGATGTTCAACAAATAAAAAACAGATGTAATACGGATAAACAAATGATAAAGCTTGGCTTATTGAATATCAGATCCCTTTCTATGAAAGCACTTTTTGTAAATGATATGATCACTGATCATAACCTAGATGTGCTCTTTTTGACAGAAACCTGGCTAAAACCTGATGATTACATTATTTTAAACGAGTCTACCCCCCAAGATTACTGTTATAAACATGAGCCACGTCCAAAAGGTAAAGGGGGAGGTGTTGCTACAATTTATAACAATATGTTCAGTATTTCTTAGCGCTCTGGTTTCAATTATAATTCGTTTGAAGTAATGGTGCTTCATATAACATTGTCCAGAGAAACAAGTGTTAATAATAAATGCCCTGTGTCGTTTGTACTGGCTACTGTATACAGGCCACCAGGGCACCATACAGACTTTATCAAAGAATTTGCTGATTTTATATCCGAGTGCTGACTGCAGATACTAGGCTTGTTTGAGATGCGCCTCGCCTCGCCTGAAATGTAGGCGAGAGTAGGTCGGCTGCAGTGACAGTCAAGTCAAGACGGACAGTCTGACCTCTCGAAGTGGAGTAGATACCTATGAGATCAAAGGCGGATATCGCGTTATTCACACATGCGCTGTGCTGCTGATAAACATGATATAATTTCAGTTATGTTGCTTTTATATTAAAATAGATATGATAAACAAGACACCCAAAGTGCTTGCAATTTAATTCCATACAAAGGCGTATTTATCATCAATTTCTACTTTAATACAAACATGTATTTTTTATTTTTATAGAAATATGACAACAATCACATATCTCACACAGAGATCACACTGCTACACTGTAAAATCGAAGTAAAGTGAAATAGGAATAGAATGTTGTACTGACAAATGCTTAGTATAGTTTACTTACACGAGAGTTCTAGTAACTAAAAAAGAACTGTAGGGGGTACTTTATCCTTTCATTTAGGTTTACTCATGACTTAGTACTGACTCCCAGAGTGCATTGCGGCATGAATAAATTATGCCGTTGCTTTGTTTTACAGTTGTTGATTTTATTTGACAATTTTATTTGCTGTCTTGTGTCAGTAGCAGCACAACAAAAAGAGCAAATAAAATGGTTATTGTTACAATAAATGAAATTGAATTGTTACCATTGTTGTGATTCACGTGCCGAATGTTTAAGTCTGTGTATGATTTTAGCATATTACCAGACACTATTTAAGGATTATATAAACCCAATTAAAAGCATCTCAAGATACTTAAGAAAAATGAAATTTTAAAATGAATAAACACACACAATAAAAATACACTAATGCTTCAATCAGAAGATAGATCACCTTCTAAAAGCAATCTATTTCTTCCCTTGAAATCAAATAACTCTGACTTCATGATGCATTGCCGCATCAACAGGAAGAAAATTATAGCAACATAAATGAAGTTCCAAGTGCCCAACCAAAGGAAACGCTAATCACTATAATGGTGAGTTAAAAAAACACATTTTAGGAAAATCAACATCAATTTATGAAGTCAGCTTATGTGATGTTCTCTCAAATATTTCAGTTGTATTGAGAATTGGTGCTATTATTCAGAGGGTGCACAAATGCATTGGATGAGAGCCAATAATGATTTTGTCTGAGCTATGAATAAAATATAAAAATTTAAGAATTTAAATTTTCTAATTGTATTTGTATTATCTTATTATTTTAGTGGTTAGAATAAGTATGTTATGGGCTAAATGAATTATTTAAGCCCCATATCCTCGCGAGTTGTGAATGATTCTCAACTTGAGAGGACTCTCTTTTCGTTATTTTACCGATTTAGCAAGTTAACAAGTATTAGATTTTTTTATAAACCCGCTAATAAAAATGTGGTGGACTGAGTCATTTCTGGCTGAATTGGACAGGCAATTTGAAGCGATGGACGAGTGTGGCGTGTGATGCAGTATTCAGTTTAAGCATGTACGCAAGCCTTAAGATTCATCCTTGGCTTGTGACAGCTGAAGTGGATCGTGTGAAATGTGCGATCGCATCGCCGATGACTCTTGAGAAACTTAAACGTGTCATATAAAGCGATTTAAATTGTTCCTTTCTTTTTGGAGTGTTACAAGCTCTTGGTGCATAAAGAAGATCTGTAAAGTTGCAAAGACTAAAGTCTCAAATCCAAAGAGATATTCTTTATAAAAGTTAAGAGTCAGCCACCCCTACCTAAAACGGCTCGTTCTAACAC